CCTCTTCGGTCATAGGGACGCGATCGGCCTCTGTGATGCGCTTTCCTCCTCCAGGAACCTCTTTGTTCGGATCATGGACGTTACCCGCGTCGTCTCCATGAGACCAATTCCACGGGGTCTCTCCATAGTGAGGGCTCCTGGAGGGGCGGTCCATCGGACACCTGCGCATGTGGCCTTTAAAGGGCTCACACTGACATACTTGCTTTCTGTACGTTTTGCGGTCAGTGATGATCTCCTGCTTCTTACACGGAGTGATCTTCTGCTGTATTCCTTAGACCAGGCCTCTGGCGTCTTGGTCTTGCCGCCCTTGGTACGGATTATCGCGCCAGTCTCGTCCCTTTTGGCACAGTATTCCTTAGAATACCAGTGCCGAAGAGTATCCATAGAGTAGCCGGGGTACCATTGGATGTACCAATCCGGCACCTGCTGAGCAGATACTCCAACGGAGTGCTCAGTGCTGTATGGATAGCCCGATTCATCATGCGTAGGGCGTCTAGGAGCTGAGCGGCTCCTTCCGCGGGCTGGCCCCGCTGACGCACTACCACGTGTCACTGGCCTTTGATCGTCATGCTCTGAGTCTCGGGGAGGCGACGGTCGCCTGTCCCTCTTGGCGTACCGCATGTCCTCCGAGTCCTCTGAGCTGTCCTGGACCATGAACACGTTTTGATACGGGCTTCTGAAGTATCCGATGTCATTTAACTGCTCCATCGAGAGGTCGTTAATGTTCATTTGATCGCAACCTTGCATGAATACATCCATAGACCAAGCGGGTGGCCCCGCTGTTGTGTCTAGCATCTCTTCGGCGGGTGACCCCGCTAGAGCTTGGAGTGCTGTAAGCATCTGAGATGCTGACATGTTCGAATCCAAGTATGGACGTAGACGGGCAACTCCTGGGTGCGACAGCAGTTCGTTCATCGTCATCTGCTGCTGTGCTGGCGCACTCAAGAGTCGGATTGCTTCTGAAACCTGCTCCTGGAGCATGTCGTTATAATCTTCTTCGGATTCTTCGGAGTCGGAATCGCGGGATGGCCCCGCATTTCGTCATCGGCGTCTCCCATCTCCGAGCCAGCCCACGACGGATTTGGCAGCAACGGCATGCCAATCACTTGTGGGGCCAGCGCGGCGGTGAGTTCTTCCTCTGTTGCCGGGACAGTCTCGGCTTCGGAGACCTCGTCACCGGCGGGTGGCCCCGCTGGAAGACCGAACCAAGCATTGTACGCAATCTCATCGACCTCGTCCCAGCCGTGGAACTCGTCGAAGAGGGTCACTGCGTAGTCTTCCAGGGCCACGGTTGCTTCAGCATAGCGGGCCATCACGTAATACGTGGAGGAGCCCGCAGCGGGAGCCGCTTCCGGATTGACGTAAAACTCGTAGTCAATGTAATCTATGTCATCCATAAAAGAATTTTGAGCCAAGTGTACGGATCCCTTTCCTTTCCCCTTCGGGCATTGATCGCGCAAATGCTCTGTGCTACCGCATGAATGACACTTCATAGTATTACCAGAAGCGTCCCTGGGGTTGCCCCTCCGTCCCTTTCCCTTACCGGAGGTCCGCCTGTGACCTCGACCTTTGCCTCCGATAAGAACTTCTTCAAAAGCCATATCAGTTAAGGACGTGAGGAAAGCAGTAATACCCCTACCATGCATACGGCGTCTGCGACCCCCTTTACCACGACCCTTTCCAAACTGTTTGAAATGTCGGCGTACTGCACGTCTCACCTTTCTGACTGGTTTCTTCATAAAGCGCCTCCAACGGCGTTTTGATTTGCGATAAGCCATAAAGGCGGCTTCCGCTCTTTGTTGTTCAGAGAGGTGAGTGTCATCCGCTGGGTAGTCATTACCAGCAGAGACTATGCCATTGTGCTCATCGTCAGATGAGGTATCTGTGTCAGTGCCAGATTCAAACGGTGAGGGTGGCTGAGACCATTGAGCGGATGACTCCGCTTGGCCCCAGAGGGTTGTGCCCGAGGGCGGGCTTGCAGTGTAGGCGGCGCCTGGCGAGTAGTTCGACCAGGCGTTCGCCTCAGCTGCCTCTGCCGATGCCTGGCCGGTCTGCCCTAGAAGGGCAGTGGCCTCGTTGGGCATATCGGCTGGGTCAGCCCAGGGATTTGGCTCGCCAGGACCAGCGGGTGACCCCGCAGTCGTGGCGTAGACACCTGCATGTGAGTGGTGCCCTGTGAAGATACCCGCTATGTTACCAGGAGAGCGCTCGGCAACATGTCCGTAGTTCCTCATCCTGGTCAACAGCCTGTCATAGTCTGCTTGTGTTCGGGGCATCTGATGATTGAAGGGCTCAAGCAGGTGTTGGGCTCGTGACGCGCCAACGCCTAACGCTCTGAAGAGAATCAGCGTTAGGATCTGAAAGTTGGGGATGACAAAGCCAACAGAGTTAGCCTCGTCACGGGCCATCTCGAATCGAGCTAATACTGAGTCGATTCGCTCGCCCCTTTCGACGCGGAAGTCGATAAGGGCCGTGCCAGAGTTGAGCTGGCGCTCATCTTCCAGATTTTCAAATTTGGTGCTCAGTAAGTACAGTATGTAGGTTACTGCATCCGTTGGCTGTCCATTGACAGTTACACCATAATTGATGATCTGGGAGGGGACCTGCATGGCGATACGACGAGCCAGACCTTGAAGGCCTCGTTGTAGTGCTGCAGCTTGTTGTGGTGGTGTCATATTGCCGCTCGTTACGTTTAACCATGCATGTACTTCGCGAACATATTCGCGAAAAGGCGTAGTACCGGCAGGGTCCCATGAAGGGCCAGTAGTACGCGTGTCGTCCATCCCCTGCCGCATGTATCCCACAGCACATCCCATTATTACCCACAGAATGCCGAAGATCGTTATCCAATCCATGTATTTCGGCTTCGGTGGTTGGTTTGGGCTGTGGTTTGTCAGGCTCTGGCGTGGTAGCCGTGAGGCGCCTGACCGGCACGGGATGCAGGTGGCCCCGCTGCGGGTAGCCCCGCAGGGTGACCACGTTCTCGATCGAGTTGCCGATTGGCATCTGGTGGAAGTCGGGAGTGAAGTAGCGCAGTGAGGTAGGAGAGAGCGTCTCGAGTTCGCGGGTTGCCCCGCTAGCTCGATCGCGGACTGGCTCCGCTCCTCGCAGAGCCGGCGCAACATGGCATTCCACCGCAGTAGTAGTCCACCAAGTTGCGCCGTGGATTACAGGAATCAGAGCGAGAGCCAGCCACACGAGAGTGTAGCCAGCTCCGCTACCAAGTCGAAAACAAGCTGGTAAGCTTAGGTATACAGTCCGCCTTAGGCGCTTCCATATCCCAGGCTTAGGCTCATAGCGCATGAGCAAGAGAGCGAGACGAAGCATGGGATCTGGAGTAAAGAGTAGGATGGGCATCGTCAATGGAAAAGGATGTTTTCCGATCTCGGATGCAAGTAGTGCGCCTCAGTGAGGCACAGTCACATATCTGGCCGGGCCCGGCTTGAGCCAGGCACGGCAGCGGTACATGCTCGATTTATACCTCGCCTTTAACCTTCTCCGTTTAAAGTTCGAGGCCTCAAGATGGCCCCCATATTGCCTTAAGGCAGCCCCAAGAGGGACCCAAGAGAGCCACAATACGGCCCCAAGAGCGCCCACGAGCGCTCCAAGAGCGGGCCACGAGGGCCCCAAGACGGCATGTTTGAGCCTCCGAGGGGTGGGCAAGATTTAGCGCCGCCTTTCTGTTTGATCACTGCTGCCTAAGACTGCCCCAAGAGGCCTCCCAGACCACTCCCAAGAGCCCCAAGAATGCCCCCAGACCCCCCAACAGAGCCCGAGGGCCCCCAGACCCCCCAACAGAGCCCCACGAAGCCCCAATAAGGCCCTAAGATGACCTCAGGAGAGCCCCAAGAAAGAGCCCCAGGAGGCCCCAAGAGAAGGGCCCAAGAGAATCCCAAGCGGGCCCCAAGCTGCCTCCAAGTTTCGGAACGCACGCGAGTTTAAGATACAAACCAGTGCAACAGCCATTACGAGTCATCGAAGTACCCCATCGCCTCTCATCGAAGCACCATCGCAGCTTGCACCGATTCCCATCTTAAACTTCAATGCGGGTAACTACGTGTGATGCTTGTGTTCTCGAAGACGGCTGTGCGACTGCATGAACTCACCGGCTGATCGTTTCTGGATGGGCTGGTGGGGATACGAGAAGCGTCAAGAATTCATTGAAGCAAATACACCCACCGCACCGTAATTCACCCTCTTATTGGGCACTTCCTGGGGCCTTCTCGGGGCACCCCCCTATGTGGACGTCATCCTCATCCTCCTCCGCCTCCTCGTGCCCGTGCCTCAGGAAGCCCTCGAGTTGGCGACGACGCATGATTAGGAGGGTATAGTGGCAATGCATGGTGACACAATGGAAACCACTATCGATCTCAATATCGGTCGGACTATCGATCCCTGACGATATCACTATCGATATCACTCGATCCATCTCACTATCGGTACGCCTATCGATTGATACCACGATCGATCTTGCAATCGATCTCAATATAGATCGCAATATCGATCGATCTCACTAGCGATCTCACGATCGTCTCATTCAATCGGTCTCACTATCGATCGATCTCACTACCAATATCTCTGTTGACCCCCAAACCGACCCCACAATCGATTCAACGATCGCTCGATCTCCCCATCGGCCCCACGATCGGTATCAATATCGACCTCACTATCGATCGATTCCCATTTCGACCTCACTACCAATCTCACTCGCACTGTGGCTCAAGTTGCCACTTCCGAGGGTTAAAACTGAGGCCTCAGTTTTAACCCTCAAGCGGGCCAGGTCACCGAAGGCCATGGCGCCGTTTGTGGACGTACGCTGTCCTTTCATCTGATCGCTCCTGATCGCTCCTCCTCCTCCTCCTCCTCCTCCTCCTCCTCCTCCTCCTCCTCCGCCTCCCCCCCCTCCTCATCCTCCTCCTCCTCCTCCTCCTCCTCCTCCTCCACCTCCCCCCATCAACCCCCTCATCCATCCCCCTCGGAGGGAGGGGGCAGGGGCAGTCCAAAACGTTGTCGATCGTGCTGTAGATCCACTCGTGCACAACGGGGCGCACGTACACCTATCGGGGGAGGGGGGGTCGCTTGATCGGTTCATCATGTTATCCGCTCCTCCCCGATCGCGCCATCATTACATCCTTTCTCCAAGCCTCTTCCCCCTTCCCTCCTTTCTCCCAGCCCCTTCCTCCTTCCCTCCTCGGCCCCCTCGTTAAACCCAGATCGGAGGGAGACGACGACGATGACAACGACGACGAACCATAATCAAAAAAGGCTGGCCTGGAAATCGTCGATACACTTGGCCAGGGGCATGGTGATCGTCGGCGGCGGCGTGGGCGGCTCGCCCTTGACCTCAAAGTCCAGGTCGCCCTCGAACTCGGACCTGATGACCACCTCCTGGCCGACAAAGTTCACGAGCACCATCGGCTTGGACTCGGCGTCGGTGGCGCGCGGCTTCAGGATGCACCCGACTGTGTAGCCCATGGCCTTGGCCCCGTCCACGCTGATGGACGCACCTGCGAACTCGCGCATGCCACTGGCGCTGGCGTTGGAGTCCATGGCTTGAACCCTCGAGGCGCCGTCGACGGAGAAAGGCGGGTCCATCGACCTGGCGCTGGGATGCAGCTGGTACAACTCCTGCAAGAACATGACCTGGACGCCCTTCAGCGTATCGTAGTGCTGCCTGCAGCGCGACTTCTTGCCGTGGATGCTCATGACTGCGCGAGTCTCCATCGACGCGACCAGCTTCACACGATCAGACTTTGGGATCTCGGGGAAAGCCTTCACGAATGCGGCAGCTGCGCGGGCCATGCACGCGGCCTCGGTGCACTTCATTTTTTTTTTCCCGATGATGGTCTGGATATCGCTCGATGCCAGCAGGGTCGACTCGCCATCGCGCGCGAAGTGGTCTGGCGAACACATCATCGCCTTCACGCACGAGGTGACGTACTCAGCCCCCTGCGAGAACTCCAAGCTAGCCAACGCCCTCCACACGGGGCCCTTGATCTCACGGCGCACCGTCAGGCTCGACGCGAACTCCTTCAGCTCCGCTAGAAATGGGGCTGCCGAACCGCCACTCCATTGGCGGACGTATGCGCGCAGGTCGATCGCGATGCCCTTGGCCGAGGGAACCTTGTTCACCTCCCTCGCGATGTAGTCCCAGCGGGAGTCGCCGTGCTTCTGGTAGTTGGCAATCGCCATCTGGTGTATTTGGCACAACAACTGAATCTGCGTTTGCTGCCTCTCCGTTCCGTGCTTGGCGTTGCCAGCGCGCTGGAGAAATTCTGGCAACGTTGGGCACACCTGCTCGATTTCCTTCCTGATGATGGTGAAGTGCATGCCTCGGTCGAGCGGCACAGCGTAGGTCGGGCAATGGGCCAAGACCTTCTCGCGAGAAAGCCTGCCGTCCTCCGTGCACAGCGCTGCGACGTGGCTCTTGCATCTGTGATGCACGCACCTGCTGCCAGCAAGCGTGTGGGAACCACCGACCGTCAGGTACTTGACCTTGCGGGGCTCCAACGGGGCAAGCAGTTCGCCCGAGCGGGCCACGAGATCCACCTTCAGTGGAAGGGAGGTGCCACGAGTGCCCATTGGAGTCCAGGACGCTGCAGGGCACATGGTTAAACTCTGCCCGACAGCATACCAGACATCCAACAGGCGCCCGTGGCCCGCCCTGCCACCTGGAACTGCAGCTGCTTTGCCCTGGTCTGCGGGTCCTCGCTGAGCTCGAACGCCGTCGCTCCAGCGGCTGCGTCGTCGCACCATCCCTTGTTGGCGATCAGCTGCAAGAGATCGTGCACGTCCATCGGCTCAAGGCCCATGGTGTAGCGGTTCTCTGGATGAGGCGCGAACGCCTCCTTATCTTCCGTCACCTCGTAGGCGAAGTCCGACTCCAGCAGGAGTCTCTTGATCTGCTGAGCCGTCGCCATCTCCTGCTTCGTCGTCACTTTGGGGTCGTCCATGGGCGCGAGCAGCGCCATCACCTTCTTCTGCACATTCTGAAGGTTCTGCTCCATCTCAGCGGACAGCGGCATCCTGGCGATACCCAGCGTCCGAGATGGAGACCACGCTGAAAGCAAGATCCACTGTAGGCCCGAGCCAAAACGGCAACCCACGAGGGGGGCGGCAAATGGGAAAGGTGGAATGCCCAAGACGAGGGCCTCATCCTCTTCACCCTCTTCCTTCACCCTCCTCTCTGCTCCCTGCCTGCTCCTTCTACTCCTCCTCCTTCACCTTCTCCTCCCCCTCCTCCTCCTCGCCCTCCCTTTCCTCCTCCGCTAACCTTACTTACAACCTACATGAAGTAACTTGGCGATCCTACTTCGCAAGATATGATAACCACATGGGGAACCAGCTTCCGTTGGTCACCGACTTAGCTATTCAAGCTATCCTATTCACTCCTATTTGGGCCTACATCGCGTGCTTACAAGTTGTATCACACACATACAAACCGCTTGCAATCCGCATACAACTGATCTGGATCACCCTGAACCATTTAGTAACCAGGGCGGTTTTCCAAGTGGTCTCGGACCCCCCCCGGTCCCGGACTCCTCCCGGTCCTGGACCTCGCCGGTCCCGGACCCCCCGGTCCCGGACCACCCTCCCGGTCCTGGACCCCCCCCCTGGTCCCGAACCCCTCCCCGGTCCCGGACCGCACGTGGGCCCAATCCCAACCCACTGGGCCCAATCCCAACCAACTGGGACCAATGCCAACCAGTGCGAAAAGCAAACTGGGCCCAATCCCAACCATCTTGGGATAGCCCCACAATAGGATTTTAAGCGTAGAGAAGCCCAAGACGACTGCGAAGACCAAGTGACACTCCTTATGTCAACGCAGAGGATCTGGAAGCCAACATGCGTGCTCTAGCTGGAATTGGTCTCAGTTGTTGGTCTGCGCACGAGCACTACGTTAAGATGAGCAAGAGGGCACCGGAGCGTAAGCAAAAACGCACCGAATCGCATCGATTCAGAAATATGCTAATGGGTCCTGCTAGTAGTAGCAGTAGTAGTAGTAGTAGTAGTAGTAGTAGTAGTAGTAGTATTAGTAGTAGTGGTAGTACTAATACTCGTAGTAGTAGTAAGTAGTAGTAGTAGTATTAGTAGTAGTAGTAGTAGTAGTAGTAGTAGTAGTACTAGTAGAAGTAGTAGTAGTAGAAGTAGTAGTAATAGTAGTGGTGGTGGTAGCAGTAGTAGTCGTAAAAACAGTCGTAGTGGTCGTAGTAGTCGTAGTAGTCGTAATAGTAGTAGCCGTAATGGTAGTAGTAGTAGTAGTAGTAGTAGTAGTAGCAGTAGTAGTAGTAGTGGTAGTAGTAGTAGAAGTAGTAGTAGTAAGAGTAGTAGTAGTAGTAGTAGTAGTAGTGGTCGTAGTAGTAGTAGTAGTAGTAGTAGTAGTAGTAGAAGAAGTAGTAGTAGTAGTAGTAGTAGTAGTAGTAATACTCGTAGTAGTAGCGAAATAAATAGCAATTGTAGTAGCAGTATTAGTAGTACTAGTAGTAATAGTAGTGGTGGTGGTGGTGGTAGTAGTAGTACAAGTAGTAGTAGTGGTAGTCGTCGTAGTAGTAGTAGTAGTAGAAGTAGTGGTGGTAGTAGTAGTCGTAGTAGAAGTAGTCGTAGTCGTAGTCGTCGTTGTAGTAATCGTAAAAACGGTAGTAGTGGTAGTCGTAGTAGGAGTTGTAGTAGCAGTAGTCGTTAAAAACGTAAACGATGTCGTAGTCGCAGTAGTAATCGTGATAGTAGTCGTAGTAGTAGTAGTAGTAGCAGTAGTAGTAGTAGTAGTGGTAGTAATAGTAGTCGTAGTAGTAGTAGTAGTAGTAGTCGTAGTAGAATTCGTAATACTGATAATAGTAAGAGTAGTAGTCGTAGTCGTAGTAGTAATAGTAGTAGTAGTAGTAGAAGAAGTAGTAGTCGTAGTAGTAGTAGTCGTCTTAGTAGCCGCAGCAGTCGTAACAGTAGTAGTAGTAGTAGTAGCAGTAGCAGTAATACTCGTGGTAGTCGTGAAATAAATAGTAATAGTAGTAGCAGTCGTAGTAATAATAGTAGTAGTAGTAGTAGTACTAGTAGTAGTAGTAGAACTTGTAGTAGTAGCTTTAGTAGTAGTAGTAGGAGTAGTGGCGGTCGTAGTAGCCGCAGTAGAAGTAGTCGTAGTCGTAGGCGTGGTTGTACTAGTAGTAGTCGGAATAATGATAGTAGTAGTAGTAGTAGTACTAGTAGTAGTAGTAGTAGTAGTAGTAGTAGTAGTAGTAGTCGAAGTAGTAGTAGTAGTAGCCGTCGTAGTAGCAGTAGTAGTCGTAGTACTAGTAGTATAGTAGCAGTAGTAGTAGTAGTAGTAGTAGTAATAGTAGTAGTAATAGTAGTAGTAATAGTCGTAGTCGGTGCCGTAGTCGCAATCGTGGTAGTAGTTGTAGCAGTAGCAGTAGTAGTAGTAGTAGTAGTAGTTCTAGTAGTAGTAGTAGTAGTACTAGTAGTAGTAGTTGTTGTACTTGTAGTAGTAGTGGTAGTCGTACGGGTCGTAGTACTGGTAGTGGTGGTAGTAGCAGGAGTAGTAGTAGTAGTAGTAGTAGTAGTAGTAGTAGTGGTTGTCGTAGTAGAATTAGTAGTAGTATTATTTTTATTACTACTAGTAGTACTTGTAATAGTAGTAGTAGTAAAAGTTGTAGTAGTAGTAGCAGTAGTAGTGGTAGTACTAGTAGTAGTAATAGTAGTACTGGTGGTGGTGGTGGTAGTATTGGTAAGTGGTAGTAGTAGTAGTAGTAGTAATACTAGGAGTAATTGTAGTAGTAATAGTAGTAGTAGTAGTAGTCGTAGTAGTAGTAGTAGTAATAGTAGTAAGTAGTAAGTAGTAGTCGTAGTAGTAGTAATAGGAGTAGCAGTACTAGTAGTACTAGTACTAGTACTAGTAGTGGTAGTAGTAGTAGTAGTAGTAGTAGCAGCAGCAGTAGCAGTAGTAGTAGTAGTAGTAGTGGTAGTAGTAGTAATAGTAGTAGTAGTAGTAGTAGCCTAGTAGTAGTAGCAGTAGTAGTAGTAGCAATGGAAGTAATAGTAGTAGCAGTAGTAGTAGTAGTAGTAGGAGTAGTAATAGGAATAGTAGTAGTAGTAGTAGTAGTAGTAGGAGTAGGCGTAGTACTAGTACCAGTAATAGCAGTAGCAGTAGTACGAATAGTAGAAGTAATAGTAGTAGTAGTAGTAGTAATACTAGCACTAGAAAAAATAGTAGTCGTAGTAGAAGTAGTAGTAGTAGTAGTAGTAGGAGGTAGTAGTAGTAGTAGCGATAGTAGTACAGTGGTAGTAGTAGTAGTTGCAGTAGTAGTAGTAGTAGTAGTAGTAGTGGTAGTGTAGTAGTAGTAGTAGCAGTAGTAGTAGTAAGTAGTAGTAGTAGGTAGTAGTAGTAGTAGTAGTACGTAGTAGTAGTAGTAGTAGTAGTAGTAGTAGTAGTAGTAGTAGTAGTAGTAGTAGTAGTACTAGTAGTAGTAGTAGTAGTAGTAGTAGTAGTAGTAGTAGTAGTAGTAGTAGTAAGTGGTGGTAGTAGTAGTAGCAACCGTAGTTGTAGTCGTAGTCGTAGTGGTGGTCGTGGTCGTAGTCGCAGTAATAGTGGTAGTAATGGTACGCAAAAATGCAATCTGCGAGCGGGCGGGCCCCTCGGCATGTGAGATGGCGCACGCCTGTAGGCCAACCAACAAACCAACAAACCAGCTAGGCAGCCAACCAACCAGCCAACCAGCCAGCGAGCCAACCAAGAAGCCAACCAGCCAAAGAACCAGCCAGCCAGCCAACCAGGCCACCAACCAACTGCCAACCGGCTACGAGGGGGCGGAGCGTGCCGAGAGGCATCTCTGAATAGAGCTGGCGGTGGCGGCGCGCAAAAATTCAATCCGAGAGCGGGTTTTTGTTCGCTACGGCGGCGAGCGGTTGTCCCCGCGGGCAGCTGCAAGGCATCCAGAGCCTGCCGTGGGATACTAGCCTGCCGTGGGATACTAGCCCCCTCTGCTGCCGGGGATGCGTGCAAACGCGCCGAGCATCCCGTTTCCCCCTGCATCCCGGTGTTCGAATTCCAGAGGAATCCTGAGGAATTCCGAAAGCATCCTGAGGAATTCCGAAAGCATCCTAAGAAATTCCAAAGGAATCGTAGGGAATTCCGAACGAATCGTAAGGAATTCCGAAGGAGTCCTAAAGAATTCCGACGGAGTCCTAAAGAATCCTAAGGAATTCCGAAGGAGCCCTAAAGAACCCTGAGGAATTCCGAAGGAGCCCCCCCCCGGTCCCGGACCCCTCCAATCCCGGACACCCCCCGCGGTCCCGGACCCCGTCGGTCCCGGGCCCCCCCGGTCCCGGACCCCCCCGGTCCCGGACCCCTCCCCCGGTCCCGGACCCCCTCTCAATCCTGGACCTCCTTTTCCTCCTCGTCCTCCTCCTCCTCCTCCTCCTCGTCCTCCTCCTCCTCCTCCTCCTCCTCCTCCTCCTCCTCCTCCTCCTCCTCCTCTTCCTCCCCCTCCTCACCCGAACCGGACCGCCCGAAACCGAACCCGCCCCGAGGCAAAACCGAACCGACTCAAACCGGACCGCCGCCGAAATCGAACAAGCTGCAACCGAACCAGGCCGCCGCCGAACCGGCCCGAACCGGCCCGAGACCCTTGGTGGGAAAGGGGCCGCAAGAGGTGCCCCAGGGAGGGGGCCTGGTGCCTGGGACGGGCCATAAGCCCCAGCCTGGCGCGTCCGAGGTGGCATTAGCACGCCAAAAGCGACGCGTGCGGTGGCGCGCCGCCTTCTGGTCAGAGGGGCGGGACCCGCTGAGCCCAGGGTGTGTCGTTGCGGGCGGCCGGGCCTAGAGGAGAGCCCCGGCCGGGCGAGTGTTCGGAGCGCCCTCGGGGCCCGTAGTCGTGCTACGCTTGGCGACGCCCCCTCCGCGCACCCCTTTGCCTTTGCCCTGGTCGGGGTTGTCCGTGAGTCTGGCCCTCGCGCGGATGCGCGCACGTATTGTCTCCCACTGAACTCCGAGCCCCAATTCTTTGTTCACCGCGAA